GCGACCCGCTGGGCAAGGTCTACGTGCGCCGCGAGCTGGCGCCGGGTCTGGTGCTCGAGAAGCGGTCCGCCGCTCTTGGGGTGGTGCTGGTGATCTTCGAGGCGCGGCCGGAGGCGCTGCCGCAGATCTCCGCGCTCGCGCTCCGGGCCGGGTGCGCGTTGATCCTCAAGGGCGGGTCGGAGGCCAAGGAGTCGAACGCGGCGCTCTACCGCGTGATCCGCGACGCGGTCGTCGCCGCGGCGCCGGCTCGCGCGAAACGCGCGCTCGCGGCCGCGGTGACGCTCCTCCCGGGCCGCGACGCCGTCGCGAGGCTCCTCAAGGCCACGGACGAGTCGCCGGCGCCCCTCGTGGACCTGGTCGTGCCCCGGGGCTCCAACGACCTCGTGAAGCACGTGCAAAAGTCGACGAAGGTGCCCGTGCTCGGCCACGCGGACGGCGTCTGCCACGTCTACGTCGACGCGTCCGCGGACGCGGCGACGGCCGTCAAGGTCGTCGTCGACGCCAAGACGGACTACCCGGCGGCCTGCAACGCCTGCGAGACCGTGCTCTTCCACGAGGCCTGCGTCGCGAGCGGCCTCGCCAAGGCCGTGCTCGACGCGCTCGTCGCCGAGGGCGTCGCGCTCTTCGGCGGGCCCGGGGCCGTCGCGCGGGGCCTCGTCTTCACCGAGGCCGACAAGCCGGAGAAGTGGGAGTACGGCTGCCTCGCCCTGCGCGTCGACGTCGTACCGGACGTCGCCGCGGCCGTCGCCCACGTCAACGCGCACTCGTCGGGCCACACGGAGTGCGTCGTCGCCGAGGACGCGGCCGTCGCCGACGCGTTCCTGGGCCTCGTCGACTCGGCGGACGTCTTCCACAACGCGTCCACGCGCTTCGCCGACGGCTTCCGCTTCGGCCTCGGCGCGGAGTTGGGCATCGCGACGGGCCGCATCCACGCGCGCGGGCCCGTGGGCGTCGACGGCTTCCTCACCTACAAGTGGCTCCTGCGGTCCGCGTCGGCGGGCGGCGACGCGGCGTCCGAGTTCGGCAGCGGCGCGAAGACGTACACGCACAAGGACCTCGCGCTCGCGGACTAGGGCGCGCGTGGGCGGCATCTAAAAAAGGTGAAGTAAAAGAGAATGGGCCATAGAAGGCCTCGGAG